TCTTTTTTTGGGGGGGGGGGAGGTAGTAGGTGGGAGGAGGGATGGGGAGAGACTTTTAAACACACACACGACACTGTACTAAAATCCAGGGGGCAAATAAATTATAGAAACTACATACAACATAAAAATGGCCATGTTTGCAAAGCTGCAACCTTGATAAACGACTGGCCATAGACACCGCATGGAGCTTATCAGTCCCAAATGCTCTGTCTGTGCTGGAGGGACCGGTTCAGTGGAGGTTCAATGGGGTCAGACCTGGTTTCCTGACCCGTGAGAGCTGGCCGGATAACCCGTGTGGCTCAGTCCCAGGCGAGCACAAAGTGGCCCCTCTCAAACCATGATGGGTTCTGTGTTTTATTCAGTACTGAAGAGGGTTGCTTTGTACTCCTGACCCTGACCTATACCTGAAGTATCCTGAGTTCTGGAATTTGTAAGATTCTCCTTCTGGGGGCTGATGGCCAAAGTGAGACTGTGGTTGCAGCGCAACAGCTCCTCCTGGTGTGTGGATAGAAAAGTAGCTCTCTCACGGGGAGAGGACTGGCTGAGCAGCCCACCACAAGGGCCTCATGAGTGGCCAAAGGCCCTGTGGAGTGGACACTGGGCCATTGGTGGAGGGCCTGGCAGGTGAAGGTGCCACCCTGCAGCAGATGCAATGCGGGCCAAGGCTTGGCCATGAGGAGCACGTCAGAGAAGAGGAAGAATGTTGGGGTCCAACCCCAGCAGGTCCAGGGGTTCCCAAAGGTGTGGACAGAGTTGGCGAAGAAGGAATGACACGGAGACAGTGTTCAGTTGATCAGCAGCCTAGCCAGGTTCTCTAGTCAGGTTCTCCAGCCAGGTTCTGTCTTTATTCTCCTGTTACATCTGTATTTATACCAGTTGATTTTAATCCTATCCATTCTATTCCAAAGGTTAGGGCATTTGTTATCTCCATTCCAAGGTCACTACTCTATTGTTCTGTTAAGCTACAAGGAAGTAACTGAAGGAGATTATCCTAAGTAAAGATTATGTAGCTTAAGCGTGATTGTTCGTAGTTAAAGTGATTGACTACCCGCCTGGCACTTAGTTAAGGGGTTTTACTGATTTATTCCCTTCCTTAGTCCTGTTAATCCCTAACTCCAGGGAAAAATCCCCACCTGGGGAAACAACCTTTCTCGGAGAGGTGACCTTGGTGTAAACACATAGTGCTAAGTAGGGGAGCAAACATATTAAGAACAGTATGCCGGGAACCAAAATGGCGGCATAAGGTACAGACCTGTGCATGCTGCCTCCCACAACAACATTGAAAATACCAACTATAAGACAAAACAGCTATCATTCAGAACCATGGGAAAGCTGTCCCAGTGGAAGTTCTACAACTGGAAGGAAAGAAAGAAGAGCATTGAGACTGAGTAGGATATGCAGAGGCGCCAAGAACAGAGATACGGAGTCGCGCGCCAGGCAGGCTGCAACTGGATGCATGGCTTTTTTCAATCGAAAGGGGTTACAAACTCTTGAATCCACGGAGCTTGTTTGGGGCGGGATTCTGAGGTCCCAGACCCTTACGGGGAGAGGCGGGACGGCCTTGCAGCGGGTCGAAAAGCAAGGCCGGCACTCGGGGACGCAGAGATGCAGAGTCGTGAAGTGGCAAGGAGTCGAGGAGATGCCATTGCTGTTTGCTCCACCCTGGTGATTCCCTGAGACCCCGCCCTACTCAATATACATCCCCGCCCATGCTGTGCCAGTGGCACAAAAGGAACCACCTGCACTTTTGCAGCTTAACCCAACAAACTGCAGATTTCAACTTTTCGCACCCATAAGGGACACTCAAGAAGCAGAATCAGGTTCAGAGGAAGCCGGAACCGGACCCGGCTGGGCCGGCAACATGGAACCGCTGTATCAGCAAACGCACAAACAGGTCCACCAGATCCAGTCTCACATGGGACGCCGGGAGACGGCAGACAAGCAGTCTGTGCACTTAGTAGAAAACAAAATCCAAGCAAGCATACCAGATATTCAGCCAGCAAGAAAGGAGCCGCCCAACAAAAGACAGAATGCCAAACTTCATGTTGACCAGTTAAAGTATGATGTCCAGCACCTGCAGACTGCTCTCAGAAACTTCCAGCATTGGCGATATGCAAGGAAGCAGCAGGAGAGACAGCGAGAGGAGCTTCTGTCTCGCACCTTCACTCCCAACATGGGATGCAGCACCCCCTGTGAGGCTGAGACGGCCCCTGCAATGCTGAGACGGCCCCTGCGAAGCTGAGTTGGCCCCTGCGAGGTTGAGACAGACACTGTGAGGCTGAGACGGCCTCTGTGAGGGTGAGACGGACACTGTGAGGCTGAGACGGACCCTGTGCGGCTGAAACGGCCCCTGTGAGGCTGTCCCTGTGAGGCTGAGATGGCCCCTGTGAGGCTGAGACAGTCCCTGTAAGGCTGAGACGGTCCCTGTGAGGCTGAGACGGTCCCTGTGAGGCCAAACACAGGGATACATCACAGATGGAAATAGCTACATTTTCCATGTGTATGACACGGCAACAAAAAGCGTAATGATAACATGTGTAAATCAGCAGCCACCTCTCGGATTGGGTTGTTTAAGACTCGGAAGAAGACTGACAAGCAATGATAGCGAGCATAACTATAAACATAGTGGATGACGTGCACACGGAGCCTTGTTCCTGTAGAAGGTTGCTGGCCTCTTCAGTCATGGGATTTCAGCTGTCCTAAAGTCGGTGGTTTGGTTGTCCTTGTTGATCTGGCTAGCGGGCGGCATCGCTGGCGACGGGCTTCCCGAAGCGTCAGCACGTTGAAGGGCTGGATCAACGGGTCCATCAGGGCTGTGCTTGATGGTGGTGTCGGTGTCCTGGGAGGAGGCAGCTGTGCCCTCTGGGTCGGCTGATATGGATGATATGGGGGGAGGAAGATGAGGCAGAGGCAGAGGGCGGTGTGACATGAGGTCAGACTAGACAGTCTGGAATCCACACAGGTGAGTCTGCATCCTGTGGAAATAGACAAGCATACCCTCCCCCCCAGGCTAAAAGTACATCAGGTCCCTTCCAGGCTCGTGCAAGCAAGTCTCTCCATTTGACGAGAGCTTTAGGTTTAGTTAGATCAGGGTTCCAATGTCTGTATATCGGGGAATTTCCCTCAGAATCTACATTTAATATATTAATTACAAACAGAGTATGTTGTAGAACATGATGAGGAGAGGAATATTTAAACTCATTTTCTTGTAATTTTTTAATTTGTGTTTTTAAAGTTTGGTGAGCCCTTTCTACTATTGCTTGGCCTTGAGGATTGTAGGGTATTCCTGTAGTATGTGCGATGCCGAATGTAGAGCATAAGTTTTTAAAAGCTCTAGAGGTATAGGCAGGCCCATTGTCTGTTTTAAGTGCCCTTGGTATTCCTAGGTAGGAAAAACATTGGAATAAATGTTGACTTACATCTTTAAAGGCTTCTCCTGTACGTGCAGAAGCAAGGATAACATGAGAAAAGGTATCAATACAAACATGCACATAGCAAAGTTTGCCAAAAGATGGGACATGAGTAATATCCATCTGCCATAAGTCACAGGGTCTAAGTCCTCTTGGATTAACTCCAGTAGCAGGGCTAGGAAAATGAGTAGGACAATGGCCGCAGTCACGCACAATACTTCGAGCAGCTTCTCTAGATATGCGATAATATAGACGGAGAGCAGAAGCATTTTGATGGTGAATGGCATGAGACCGCCGGGCTTCTTCTAGAGCTGTACAAACTACTGGGCGAGTTAGTAGATCCGCCTGATAATTTCCTTCGCTTAAGGGTCCTGGTAGGCAGGAATGAGCTCTAATATGTCCAATATAGAAAGCCTTTTCTCGTTTATGAATGTAAGTTTGTAGCTGAGTTAACAAAGAGAAAATGGCTGTTCTTCCTTGTGGGAGAGAGGCGGTCTCAATATGAGGAAATAATTTAACTATATATTGAGAGTCAGTGTACAAGTTAAAGGGAACCTGTTGCAATTGTTCAAAAGCATAAATGACTGCCAAAAGCTCTGTTCTCTGAGCTGACGTCTCTAGGGTTTGTTGAACATGGGTTATTGAGTCAATGATTGTTACTGCCTTACCATTAGAGGAGCCATCTGTGAATACTAAGGAGGCAGGAGGTGATAATGGCTCTTTTGAACATTTAATAGGAAATATAAACGGATGTAGGGAGAGAAATTGCAATATAGGTGATCTTGGCAAATGATGTAAAATTTGTCCTGGGAAGTTACCTATAGTCGTTTATGAATGTAAGTTTGTAGTTGAGTTAACAAAGAGAAAATGGCTGTTCTTCCTTGTGGGAGAGAGGCGGTCTCAATATGAGGAAATAATTTAACTATATATTGAGAGTCCGTGTATAAGGTAAAGGGAACCTGTTGCAATTGACTATGATCCCCTGTAACGAGGTGGAGCTCTGTCCTAATATTAAACTACACTTCCCTCAGGCAGCGGCCCAGACACTCCTGTAGGAATGGTTGCTAAGGGCGAGTCTGGGGTTAGTATTGCGTGGGTGGTGGAATGAAGGTCCAATCCTGCACTGCCTGGGGTTGCCCTGAAGAGGTCACTGACTGATTGAAATTTGCAAAGGGGTTGAGGGTTGATGCCCCTATTATTGCAGGGGCCTGGGGCTGGTCCCTTCTCAAGTTTCCCAATTGAGGTGATGGGATAGAACCTCCTTGGGAGAGGTTTGTAGAATTTAAAGGCTGACCATTTTTATGGTATTTTGATCTGTATGTTTATTAAAAATTTATGTCAAAATTTGTAATAGACACACACACAAAAACTACTGCCCCTGTTAAAATACTATAAGAATTCTAAAATAGATTTGCTCTGTTTTTTGAAATGTGTCCTTTATAGGTACTATACGTATCTGAAATAAAGCACCTCCAGTTTTAAATGTAACGTTGGATTTTGTTGGAGAATCTGCAACCTCCCTGGTGAGCACAGAGGGACAGGTGCAGGGACAGGCTGAGACATCTGTGACATCGATGGACTCTCCTGATGGAGCAACAAGCTTGCTGAAGAAGTTGCATGTAGATTCCACCCTAAATATCCACGATGCATCAAACTAGAGAATTTCTAGCAGTTAAATAAGCATGCATTATGGTTTCTTGCCTTTTTCTGTCCCAAAATCTTCTCTGTACAGCTAACTTAACAGGATAGTCAGAGCTCTTATCACAACAAAAAACATCAACCCTTAAAATTTGTCATTGCCCTCATCAATTGCTGTACATTATTACCAGTCACTCTCCATGTTGGTTTTCGGATCTTTAGCATGAGCACATGTGTGGGAAAGTACAGGGAAATAATCACTGTTCACAAGTAGGAGAGCAGCAGAGTCAGCCTAAAATCTGATAAGCCTATCTAACCGAGTCATAGTGTTTGAGCAATAAAATTACAAGATAAGTCTGTTACTTAAAATATACATAATAGAAATTTTTAAAAATGAGAGCAGCAAGATCTTTTATTTTAATATGAAACTGTTTCGTTGTACTCCTAAAAAGGAGATAAACCCAAAAATCTGTAATTGTTAAACAATGCATCAACTTTCAGAAAAATCTTTTATGTTTGTTCACATGCCTCTAACTTTTTATGGCCCGGAACTATAAATGCAGATATGCAATATAAAACACCAATGTCATCTAAAATGGCCTATGTAAGACATAATATCCTATGTATTTGGTTATATTAGTACATTGCTTAGTTTTAACTGGTTTGTTTTCATAACATCAGAAGAAAAAATAATTAAACAAAATCATATGGGGTTGATAATCACACAAAAAGAAAAATACCATTTTGCAAATTATTGAAAGGTAAAACATTCTTCCTCAAGAGGCTTCTCCTTTGATGTCAGGTTGTCAGGTGACAGCTCTGCATCGCTACGCCATGCTTCTTCAAGTGCACAAGGTTATGCATAAACTTGTGAAAAACGATGCATATAATAGACAGTTCAGAACTGAAGACCCAGGGAACATTCCATAAATGTTGCTCGATAACTATGTAGTTGTATAAAATGACTCTTCCTAAGGAAATAACTTATGTTAACATTTGCTACTTTTACTTAAAAATAAATAAATCCCATTGAAAACATAAACAGTATTTGCTTGTTTCTTATTAATGTATAAAATCCAGGGGGGAGGGAAATCCCTTTCTAGATTGATGGCTTCTTTTACCCACACATTGAGGCACTACCATTACAGTTGGGCTGTGTGGCTCTAGCTGGTTTGTCCTCTAAAGAGCCCTCATGCCCGGCCCATGTGGCTCAGTGGTTGAGTGTCGACCTATGAACCAGGAGGTCACGGTTTGATTCCTGGTCAGGGCACATGCTGGGTTGCGGGCTTGATCCCCTGTGTGGGATGTGCAGGAGGCAGCCGATCAGTGTTTCTCTCTCATCATTGATCTCTCTCTCTCTCTCTCTCTCTCTTCCTTCATCTCTGAAATTAATAAAAATATATTTTAAAAAATAAAGAGCCCTGCTATGCAGAATAAACAGACAATATCCATAATAAATATTCGTTCTGTGTAGGATATTTACACAATGTCCTTATATTATCTATGTTATTTCCTTAAAAAATACTTTGTAACATAAGTTTTGCCTACTAAGTGTAAATAAAATTTCCTTTGCAAAACATAACTATATTATTCAACTGAAATGTCAATGGTCCTTCTTTAAAGGAATTTGAGATATGTTGATATTTGTATGGCTAATAGAAGATATGCATGGTTTTTAATTCAGCTTCATATATTGGTTTTAAATTAGTTACAAATTAAGAAAACTAATGAAACTGAAGAGTGACCAGAAAGCAATTGATATTCATATATGTGTAAGGTACATACTATGTATTCACATATATAAGAATTTAGAATATGATTAAAGTAGAACCTTTAATAAGTAGGGAAAGGGAGGTTTATTCAATAAATGACACAGACAATTGATGAATGAAAATTGTTATATTTCTACTTCAAACCATATTTCATAAAGAGTTCCAGATTATAAACTGATGAACAAAAACAGAACCAGAGACAGAGAAGCATTGATCAGACCGTCAAACCTCAGAGGGAAGGTAGGGGAGGGTGGGGGTAAGGGGGAGAGATCAACCAAAGGACTTGTATGCATGCATATAAGCCTAACCAATGGACACAGACTACAGGAGAGTGGGGGCATGAGTGGGGGAGGGGAGCAATGGGGGAATAAGGACGCATATGTAATACCTTAATCAATAAAGAAAGGAGAATTTAAAAAAAGAGAGTTCCAGATAAATAAAAAAGTAAAAATGGGAATAAGATGCAAAAATACAGGCCTGGCCGGGTGGCTTAATTGGTTGGAGCGTCGTCCTGTACACCAAAAGGTGGTGGGTTTAATTCCCGGTCAAGGCACATACCTAGGTTGCAGGTTAGATCCCTGGTGGGCACCTACAGGAGGCAACCGATCAGTGTTTCTCTCTCACATCAATGTCTGTCTGTCTGTCTATCTGTCTGTCTCTCTCTCTCTCCCTTTCTCTCTCTCTCTAAAGTCAATAAAAAACATATTTTTTAAAAATAAGCAAAACACCTGAATAGACATTTTGCTAAAGACATACAAATGGCCAACAGTTACATGAAAAGTTGCTCAACATCATTAATCATCAGGGATCTGCAAATCAAAACCACAATGAGCTATCACCTCACACCTGATAAGATGACTATTATCAAAAATTCAAAAGATGACCAGTGTTGACCAGGATGTGGAGAAAAGGGAACCCTCTGCACTGTATGTGGGAATGTAAATTGGTATAGTCATTATAGAAAACAGTATGGAAAGTTCCTCAAAAAATTAAAAATAGAACTAACACATGATACAGCAATCCCACTTCTGGCTATATTTGGGAAGGAAATGAATCAGTTTCTTAAGAAAACATTTATATTCCTATGTTCACTGCATCATTATTCACAATAGCCAAGACATGGAAACAACCTAAGTGTCTGTCGCCAGATGACTGGATAAAGACAATGTGTTGGAATATTATTCTACCTTAAAAAGAGAATGAAATCCTGCCATTTACAGCAACGTGGATGAACCTGGAGGACATTATGCTAAGTGAAATAAGCCAGACATAGAAAAACAAATACTGCATAATCTCAAATGTGGAATCTAAAATAATTGAACTCATGGCAATAGAGAGTAGAATGCTTCTTAGCAGGGGCTGTGGGGATGGGGGAATTGGAAAGATGTTGGTCCAAAGGTACAAATTTTATTTTTATTTTTTATTGAATGTATTGGGGTGACACAGGTAAACAAAATTATTCAGGTTTCAGGTGCACAATTCTAACACTACCTGATTTTGAGACGTATTGCATAGCCACAGCAATCAAGACAGTGTGGTAGTGGTGTGAAGATAGATAAACCCATCAATTGAACATAATAGAAATTTCAGAAATAGGCCCACACATATATGGACAACTAGTATTTGAGAAAGATGCAAAGGTAATTAAGAGGAGAAAGGATAGTCTTTTCAACAGGTGGTGCTGGAACAATTCTATATCCATATGGAAAAGCATGAACTTCAATCCATACCTCATACTATATACAAAAATGAATTAAAAAATGGACCTAAAATTAAAACCTAATTCTAAAATTTCTAGTAGAAAACAAAGGAGAACATATTTGTAACTTTGCTTAGGCAAAGACTTCTTAGATATATGATCCAATAAAGTAAAAACTGATAAATTAGACTTCATTAAATGTAAGAACTTCTCTTTGAAAGACAATTTTAAGAAAATGAAAAGACAAGCTATAGCCCAGGAGAAAATATTCGCAAGTCACACATCATGTTAACGACTTGTATCCAGAATAAATAAATCTCAAAATTCAATAATAAGAAAATAAATAACCCATTTAAAATAATGGTCATACAATATTAACAGATACAATCAATGAAGATATTATGGATGGTAAATAAACACATAAAAGGTCAACGTTAGTAATTAAGCTAATGCAAATTAAAACTACAATGTGGTATCACTAATACACCTATTAGGACATCTAAAATGAAAATGACTGTTCTTGCAATGATTACTGAATTGAATGCAGTGAGTGTATTTGGGCTCTAGCCACATATTTACTGCTTGTTTTCCAAGCAATAAGGAAAAGTCCCCAATTCAGTTGATATAAATGCAACTGTAGTTTTAGTGTGCTTTGTGGAAATGCAAAAAAAATAACAGATTCAGCTAGTACTAGCTACAAACATAAGTAATCACATGCCATGTTTTCATTTAGACCAGCAAAAACAGGCCGCTGAAAAGGTAAATATATGCTGGGCTCACATATTAGATATGGATGAAGTCAGCTGGAAAATTAAGAGATATTTCTTCCAAAGAAATTCTGCACTTGTAGAGCGAAAGTGACTTTGGCGACTACTGCTTTCATACTCAATAAGAAACTTTGTTCTCTGAAATCATAAAATATCAGACACTTTGTTGTTCAAAAATGTATCCGTAACAGTACTCTCTCTCCCTTGGCTCCTCATCTTGGCACACAGAACCAGCCTCAAATCCCAAACCCAGTTCAGGGCTACAGATTAGTATCTGGGCACAATATTTAGAATCAATGTTCACTTTGTATATTTAGAATCAATGTTCACTTTGTACTTTCCAAGTTAATAGGACCATAGGTCCACACTGCGGTCCAGACCTGATTTAAACTCACACAGCCTTCATTGGCTTTGAACCTACCAAACACTGTTTCACTTAAATTTCACTTACCTTTAGTCTTCATTAACATCTTCTAATAAAACCATTCCTTTGAATGGTGACATGCCTCACGCTTCCTCTGTTGTATGACCTCACTCATTGTAGGCCTGGGTCAAAATCATTATGATTTGCGGGGGCTATAGATTTGTCACACTACAAGTGATCCCAGGCTGATAGGGCTAGCAGAAAAATTTTTGAAAAAATGTTCTCAGTTAACATTTGTTTTCATCCATTTTCTCTGTTCACAGTCGTTTGTAAATAATGAAGAGGAAAAAGGTTGGCCACTATTTTAAGAAAGTAATGTTTGAGTAAAGCAAGAAAAAGCATTTGAACACCATTGATCTATTATCTACACCAATATTTGACTGTAAAAATAAGAGAGATTGAAAGAGAAAGGCCTCCTATTATCTCTTTTGGTAGAATAACAGCCTAGAAGACTCTAGAGAAACACAAGCGCCATAGCTCAGCGTCCTCGTCCCATCTTCAAACACACGTGGAGCGGTCTCGGTGCGACGAGAACTACAATTCCCAGCGTGCTGCGCGGTGCGGGGGTGGGGGGAGGAGAGGAAGGTCGGGACTATAGGAGGCTCGGGAGAAAAGCGGGCTAGAGGTGGGCGCTCCTCCTTCTGAACGGTTTCGCAAGTCTTTGAGAAACGGGAGATCCAGGGCCCAAGGCGAGTAGGGGACCCCTAAGGGTTCTGTGTTTTGTTGACTGAAGCCTGGTGCTCGGACGCCCCGGGCGCCCTGGCCTCGGCACCAGCCCCGACTGAGCTCCTTGTTGCCGCTGCTCCGTGCAATGCTTGCTCCTCAGCAGGGAGCCTGCATCCCTCATTCTTGAGCTGGTGGGGGAATCCCGAGGGGCTCTTAGCAGGTTTTCGCTGTCAGACGTGTGTTGGCTTATTTCTGTAGATGATAAAATCTGTCCCTCCAGCAGGGCCTGGGGCATCTGAGTCCACAACGGATGAAAATGAAGATGACATTCAGTTTGTGAGTGTAAGTAGCAACAGTTCGGGTTTTTCGTAAAGTCGATGACTGCGTGGTAAGCAGTTATGTGACTACACCTCACCTGTTCATTCATCATCCAACAAATATGTATGCATGTCTGATGGGTACTAGACAGTGTGGAGCAGAGGGTTAGGAAATTGACCAAAAGAGGTCTCTGAGCAACCACCGTGGCCATCACAAAGACTGCTGGCCGAAGGACATGTTGTACACTTAATCACTCTTCTCATGCCTTCAAGTAGGGCCATTTTATACTAAGGCTGAGCAATGTTCTGGTTTCTTAAGACTGTGTATTGAAATGGGTCTAGAGTACCTTCTAGCCCTAACCGGTTTGGCTCAGTGGATTGAGCGTGGGCCCATGGA